GCATCTTGTGAGTTTACTGTGAGTCATATGTCACAGGCGGGACAAATCCCATTCATCATCCAGCCTAAGTCCAACAATTAAGCATCCTTTGTCAGGTTTTCTCCATGAACACCCTTGTCCTAAGTGTGCTGAGGCTCTCACTGACTGAGCTGATCAACATTCGGTGGACTAGGCCTATTGAAGAATCACTCAGGCATAATCGCTCACCTGTTAAATGCGTCGCTGTAGGTCAGCACACTCATAACCTTATTTTTAATCACTTAAACACAGTCCATTTCTCCTATAATCATATTACATCTCTTATACATCACATCTACCCCGTGAAGTTTTCTAGATACTCCTTGGAACTTCGAAGTTTTGTTTCTCTGTGTTTCACCTAAAATGGCACCTCCTACTGAGATTGTGTGCCTCTGTGGACGTTGTTTGATGTCAACATTCCGTGCAAAGGGCGTAGTTCAGCAAGGCCGCATATGGCGGCCAAAATCCCAAGCATATAAGAATCATCGAGACGCCCTCAAAAAACCTCCGGTACTGGAACAGACTACGAGCGCTGATTACAATGCAACCAATACCGACTTACAAGATCACAGTAAGCTACTATACTTATCAAGACAGGCACCTGTCGAAGCTAACAGGATTGTCTAGCAATTTTGGGCACAGGGGTGCAACACGAGTCAACAAACAAACTCTCTCATCTGGACATCGCCTACTTGACCAACTCACATCAACAGCCTCGAGACCGATCCCTTAATCATTTTCCGGAGGTATGGGCTGGGGAGACTATTGACTCAAGTATGTATCAGTCTTAGTCTGAAAAAAGAATCAGTCTTGATTAAATCCAGCTTTCAACGATGAAATAGGCAAATGCAGCATGACTTATTACGACCAATTCCAACGCATGGAGGCTACAAATTTAATCTTAATAACGATGGTGACCTGCCTACACCTCTTCGAACACATCAGTGTGTCCATAGCTACCCTATGTCTTCATGTGATTCGAGCTGCCTTATCTATCTGCAATACCCCAGTTGGACATAGCAGAGACTGGAAACCGGTAGATATCAGAACTGTACTTGGTGATCTGAGGATTGAGCCGCAGATCAAAAGAACTTACTGCTGTCCAAAGTGCTTTCAGCTGTATTATGACGACAAGATTCCACAAAACTGCACCTACCGTTCCACTCGCCGAAGTCCCAAGTGTCGGGCGCCCCTCTATCGCAAGACCTCTGGACCTGATGGTGTTGAAAAACTGCATGCTACTCGACTACTTTCAACCATATCTTTCACCGATTGGTTAGCTAGGTTCTTGAACAGGCCTGACATTGAAGACCATCTGGCTTGCAACAAAATTCCGAAGAGGAACTCGGTGATGGAAGACGTTTGGCACGGCTCCATGTGGAAATCTTGTCGTGGGATCAATGGCAGAATATTCACGAGCTCTCACAACAATTTAGTGTTTTCATTGAACGTTGACTGGTTCAATCCCCTAGGAAACAAAGCTGCAGGGAAGCAAATATCCATTGGGACCATCGCCCTAGTTTGCTTGAATCTGCCGCCCGACATCAGATCCGCTCCCGAAAACATCTTCCTTGCTGGTTTGATTCCTGGACCCTCTGAGCCTTGACTGACGGACATCAATAAAGTACTAGCCCCCCTGGTCGCGGAACTCAAAGAATTGTGGAAAGGCGTCAAGTTCTCTTCAACTTTCAATCATCCAAGGCAGGGCTGCATAATCCGTGTTATGTTAGGTCCAATCATATGTGACCTCCCAGCAATAAGGAAAGTGTTGGGAATGGCTGGACATTCCTCCCATAATCATTCATGCTCAATATGCCTCATACGGAAGGATAACATCGACTTGATTAATATTCCCAAAAAACTGTACCGGTCTACTTGCGTTCTTCGTTCCCAATCCTTGGCCTGGAAGAACGCTACCACCATGGAGGACAGAGCCGAAATCTTCAACCAACATGGGGTACGCTATTCAGTACTCTGGGAGCTACCCTACTTCGACCCACTTAAACATACTGTAGTTGAGCCAATGCACAATGTATTCCTCGGGCTACTTCAGAACCATGCACTGAACATCTTTGGTATAAAGACAAACCCCACAAAAATCAATAAGCCAGTTGTACAAAATCTTGATATCGAAGAATCTCAAAATTCTCCTTCCGACGATGACGAAATAATAGATTATCAAGCCTCAGACAGACCGGAGATGAACATTGGAGATGATAACATGGATGATTCAAGCTCCGGCTTCATGTTGTCAGATGAGCAAATATTGACAGAAGGTTTGGATGGACTCTCAGAAACGGGCAGCTTTGGATATTTTGATGACAACACAGACTTAGCCCTTGCATTTGAGAACATGGATCTTGATGGCTTAAGTCGTGAGAGTAAAGCTTACACCAACAATAAAACTGAAGACATGTATGCTGATAAAGAAAGTGAAATCGAATCTTCTGACGAGGCGCTGTCTGAATTTGAAGTGGATGATGAGGAAGAAGACTTTAGCTATATTTTCAGTGATAAAGGGAATCTTAAATTACTTCATGATGCTATAAAGCAGGTTCAACTCCCAACATGGATAGGTCGAGTGCCGAATGGGATTGGGTCAGCAGAAGGTGGCAAGTTGAAAGCTGCTGAATGGGTTATACTCTTTCAGACAATGATAATTCCGGCCCTGATTTTGATAGCACACAACAGAGGCACCGACTTATCTGATGTCTTGGCCCCAAAAGCTGTCCATAACACACTCCACCTTATCAGTGTATTGGATATTATTCGACAATTGGAGGTGTCAGATGATGATGTTAAATCATTGACGTACCATCTCAAACAATATCGTCAGGGCCTATCACATCTGTTTGGTTCCTTCCCAATACTTCCCAATCACCACATGTCTCTCCACATTCCTCGGGTTCTAAAGATGTTCGGACCTGCCCCTCAATGGTCCGCATGGAGCTTTGAAAGGCTGAATGGTGCTTTGACACAGATACCAAATAATAATCACCCTGGTGCGCGATTTTTTCCCCCATTTGACCCAAAAGAATACGTACTCACTTCTGCACTATCTGACATCCAACATATCCTCAAATGTACCCCATCTTATAGATGACCAAGAGCTCACCCTCCTCAAAAAGTGGAACACAGCTCAGAACATGCGGTCCATCTTCCCAGTATTGTGCAAAGGACTCCCAACAAAAGCATCAAATCTACTTTTAAAACTCTCAATGCCCAAACGTACATGGGGCAGCGTCTCTCAAGGTCTCCAACCACAAGGGGAGGTCAGTTCGAATTATGCATACGCCCCCCAGAAGAGTGAAGGTCTTAGCTACGAGTCTCATGAGCGGCTTGTAAGCAGAATGAATGAGATTTCCGAGGAAAGAGTTCTAATAGCTATGAATGCTTACAAAGTCAAAAACAAAACTGCCAACATCCTTCCGCTCTCTCGATGGGTAAATCAGCTGAGCTCGGTGGATGTGGACAATATAAAATATACCGTCAAACACAAAAGTATCTCAAACAGCACAGTCCTGTATCAGGTCAAGAATACAAAGAAAAGGAATGAAGTGGTCTGTGGACAAATTGAAGAAATTTTCACCACAATGGTAAGAAAAGGTGAAAGCCGCAATATTCAACTTTGGCTTGAAATCAATAGGTATGATGACTTGACGCCTGCACATCAAAAGAAACATTGTCTCCGAGATTGGCCGCATGGGAAGATGAGACTAGTGTATAACAGGCAGAAGAAGATAGATTTAATTCGTGTTGATGAGCTCATCAGCCATGTAGCTTTGTGGGAGACACCAAAAAATTGTTTTGGTATCAAAGAAGCGACTTTGCTAGTCACTGACTTATCTAAAAGATCATCCACCAGCCACAGTATTTTGTAATGAACAAAAACCTTGTCATTGTATTTCTGACTCCTTCCTTTGGCGAGTCCAAAAGTGTTATAACTCGGATTGTGTAACACCTGTGAAAGATCACATATCAGATGTCACACTTTAGATTAGCACACTTGAGACCGCGCACGCTTGTACTTGCTCTTTTCCCCATCTGACAATCTAAATACCAAACCGGATTGCTCAGCTTCTTCCCTCGTCGCCAGAACCCCGTGACCAGGTCATAACATATTGTCAGATCTCTACTGACGATCGAAGAGGTATCTAGAACCGAACAAATCAAACCCCGAACGAATTATCAGCGAATCGATCAGAACTTAGATTATAATTGATACAGACCAACCTTAATTAACCTGCACAGAAGATCCAAGATTAGATTTCGAGTTAGGACTCGCGAACTCACCAGAAGAAGAAACCTTAACTTAAACATTCAGATCGATACTCACACACTCTAAAACATAAGCCAACACGTCTCCTACATTCAATACCCCGCAACTAGACGAAGAAGAATCGGACGATTCTAGTTTTTTCACTCCGACTCAACGTTCTGCCTCATCTCATACCCGCGCACCCACAGATATGGAGGTTACCACTGCCCAGATGGAGGAGATGCAACGTCAATTGAACGAACTTGCGAAGTCGCTAGCTGAGGAAAAACGCTTACGTGCTCAGGCCGAGAGCGAAATTAGCTCAATGCGGAGTACTCAAGCTCAACATCAGACTCCACCCGCTCCTATGACGAGTCAAGCCCTAGCAGCACAACCTGAGATAGCGAACGCACCTAAAGGTCCCAAGGTTGCGACGCCTGACAAGTTCGCCGGCGCTAGAGGTAACCAAGCTGAGGTCTTTGCCAGCCAGGTGCAACTCTACATGATGGCACACCCGTATTTATTTCCGGACGATCATAGCAAAGTGGTATTTTCACTTTCTTACTTGACTGGCACTGCCAGCGCGTGGGCTCAGCCGCTCGCTAAGGAGCTATTCGATCCTAAAACGCGACACCTTGTCACTTTTGACCGATTTGTCAAGAATTTCGAAGCAATGTTCTTCGACACCGAGAAGAAATCGAAGGCTGAGAAGGCTATCCGAAGTCTGACTCAGAAAGGCTCGGTAGCAAACTACACTCACGAATTCAACTTGCACGCCGCGAACACCGGTTGGGAAGTTCCAACTCTGATCAGCCAATTCGAACAGGGCCTCAAGAGGGACATCCGTGTTGCCATGGTCCTTATTCAAGACGGCTTTGAATCAGTCGAACAAATAGCTAACCTCGCTATCAAACTGGACAACAAACTTCACGGCGTGCCAGAAGCCTCGTCCGCGACCTATACCCCGGCTGCCGATCCTAATGCCATGGATATATCAGCATCTTACACCCGACTGTCTGACGATGAACGCAACCGACGCCTCAGGACTGGGTCGTGCTTCAAATGCGGAGTTCAGGGTCATCGGTCTAACGCCTGTCCAGACCGTCAAAAGGATCAATTTACGGGAGGCGGCAAGGGGAAAGGTACATATCATAAACGCATAGCTGAGTTAGAAGTCAAATTAGCGGCCATGAGTAGTAGAAATGATACGCGGAATGATCAAGGGGAAGGCAGTAGTAGAGCAGACCTTGCAAAAAATGGAGGCGCTCAGGACTGACTGTTGTGCCTATCCTGAGCAGAGGGGATATAAAGAGTGATATTAAAGTTGGTGCTAGTGAAGTGTTTAGATGCAATGAATTTGATCCACGTTTATTTGTCAAAACCTCGCTGTCCACGCTCCCCAATCCCCATGCCACAACCATTGAGACACCCCCTTCACTGTTCCTGATTGACTCAGGGGCAACCCACGACGTCATTGGAACGGCGTTTGCCATCAGAGAAGGATTACTGAACCACGCCACCGACAGCACCAGGAGTGTTACCGGCTTTGACGGCTCTGTAAGCCAATCATCGCACAAAATTGAGATGTTTATTGGCCGAGACTCGACCCCCACACCATTCATCATTACACGACTCAAAGACTCTTACGACGGTATACTGGGTATACCATGGATTCGACGCAACAATCACCTTATTGATTGGAAGAAAGGTACTGTTAACCTCAATAACACCGACATTGCGGCCATGACAAAGGTCTCGTCAAGTCTGACAACACCTCCACTTCGTCCCGAACTGGAACTTTTGGAGGACGCTAAGAAACTTGACGAGGGGATGGGTATCAACACCGATACATTACCATCCCCGCAATGTGCGTATGAAACTCTCTCTAAATCACCCTTATGTCGAGCAACTAGCAAGCGTGATCTTTTCGCAGAACCACTGCCTCACAAGAGTGAACCAGACCCGAACATGATCACCATCGGACACCACAGTCCAGACTCCACTGCGACTGCTACGTCAGTCTCGTCCATTCCGCCACACACCCCAAACGGTCCACATGAGGAGCCCAAGGGGCATGCTAGGATAAGAGACGAGGGGGCTTGTGTTTTAACAAACACATCACAGCCCCCGCAATGTGAGTTCGACATTAATTTCCCATCTCCACCTATTGAATCAGCTGGCAAGCGTGAATCCTTCCTAGAACTGCAGCGCACCAGGCCTATACACAACCTCGAGACACCGCCGACTGAATGCATACATGAAGAGAAAGAACACACCAACGCCAACGTGCATCAAGGAACCATTGCGACTGTTCCACCAGTCTCGTCCATTCCGCCACACAACCCCAAAGGTCCACAGGAGGAGCCCCAGGGGCACGCCAGGATACGTGACGAGGGGGCTTGTGTTTTAATCGACACATCACAGCCCCCGCAATGTGAGTTTGTTACCGTTCCTGACCCCATCCCTATTGAATCAGCTGGCCAGCCCTTTCCTCTCTTGAATACTAGTGCGATTTCTACGGATGCGGCGCAAGCTTCTTGGTCCACGTCAGCAAAACTAGCAGCTGAAGAAAAGAAGGACGCACCGGTCAGAACAGTGGAAGAGATAGTCCCCTCAGTTTATCATCGACACCTGCACTTATTTAGGAAATCCAACGCTCAGTGCTTGCCACCACGACGACGATATGATTTCAGAGTGGATCTAGTACCAGGCGCGCAGCCTCAAGCGAGTCGTATCATACCACTATCACCGGCGGAAAACGCAGCACTAGACGACATGATCAATACTGGATTGGCCAATGGTACCATCAGAAGGACGACCTCACCGTGGGCAGCTCCCGTACTGTTCACCGGCAAGAAGGACGGTAATCTACGGCCTTGTTTCGACTATCGCAAACTGAATTCATTGACAATTAAGAACAAATATCCTCTGCCATTGACAATGGACTTAGTCGACAGCTTATTGGACGCGGACAAATTTACCAAACTAGATTTACGCAACGCCTACGGTAATCTCAGGGTCGCCGAAGAAGATGAAGATAAACTGGCGTTCATATGTCGTGCTGGGCAATTTGCACCACTTACAATGCCTTTTGGCCCCACCGGCGCCCCAGGGTACTTTCAATATTTTATGCAAGACATCTTTGTAGGCAGGATCGGCAAGGATACAGCAGCGTACCTAGACGATACCATGATTTACACGAAGAAAGGCGAAAGACATGAACCCGCTGTTGATAGCATATTGGAGACCTTAGGAAAACATCAATTATGGCTCAAGGCTGAGAAATGCGAATTCTCAAAATCGGAAGTCGAATACCTCGGATTATTAATCTCACACAACCGAATTCGCATGGATCCGACTAAGGTCAAAGCCGTATCCGAATGGCCAGCACCACGATCTGTCAATGAACTACAAAGGTTTATAGGATTTTCCAACTTCTACAGAAGATTCATTGATCATTTCTCAAAGACTACACGACCACTCCACAACTTGACCAAGAACGACGCCAAATTCATATGGGACGAACGTTGTGACAAAGCATTCAATAGCCTGAAGACAGCGTTTACCACCGCGCCAATCCTGAAGATAGCTGATCCTTACCAGCCATTCATACTCGAATGTGACTGTTCAGACTATGCGCTGGGCGCAGTTCTGTCGCAAAAGTGTCCAAAAGACGGTGAAATACACCCAGTGGCCTACCTCTCAAGATCACTGGTTCAAGCCGAGAGGAACTACGAAATTTTCGACAAAGAACTGTTAGCGATCGTGGCGGCATTCAAAGAGTGGCGACATTACCTCGAAGGTAATCCAAATAGACTCGAGGTCATCGTATACACGGACCACCGGAACTTAGAATCGTTTATGACCACGAAGCAACTGACCAGACGTCAAGCGCGGTGGGCAGAAACACTAGGCTGTTTCGATTTCGTCATTAGATTCAGACCAGGTCGTGATGCTACCAAGCCCGATGCGTTATCACGCCGACCTGATCTAGCACCATCTAGTGATGAGAAACTCTCCTTTGGTCAACTAATCCGACCTGAGAACCTGGACGATAAATCATTCGTGGCCGATATCGCAAGTTTCGAATGCTTATTTGAAAACGAGGAGGTGTCATTAGAGGATGCCGAACACTGGTTCGAAGTCGACGTATTAGGTGTGACGGACCCAACTTCTAGTGAACCTCCAACGGTTACAGCAGTACCCGAGAACGTATCTATTCAAGATATCACCGACTCAGATTTATCAATCATCGAAGATATCAGAATTGCAACCAAACAGTGCACAAGATTAATGAAATTGATCAATATCGTTGAGAACCCCCTCTCAACCAGGATTAAGAAAGTCACAAAGAACTACCGAGTACTCAATGGTCTGCTTTATAACAGAGACCGCATCGAGGTGCCAGACGACGACAAAATCAAACGTAAAATTGTTCAAAGTCGACACGACAGCCTATTGGCAGGTCATCCAGGCAGAGCTAAGACGTTAGGCTTAGTACGACGATGCTATACGTGGCCTTCACAAAAAGCCTACGTGAACAAATACGTAGATGGGTGTGACTCTTGCCTACGTGTGAAGAGCAGTAGCCAACAACCCTTCGGTCAACTTGAACCTTTACCGATCCCTGCAGGTCCATGGACCGATATTAGTTATGATCTTATCACGAAATTACCACCATCAAACAATTATGACAGTATCCTCACTGTAGTCGACAGATTAACCAAGATGGCGCATTTTGTGCCATGCAAGGAAAGCATGTCAGCGGAGGATCTTGCGGATATAATGCTAAAAAATGTATGGAAGTACCATGGAACACCCAAAAGCATCATATCCGATAGAGGTAGTATTTTTATCTCACAAATAACTAAAGAACTCAATAAACGACTGGGGATACAGCTTCAACATTCAACGGCTTATCACCCAAGAACGGACGGACAATCAGAAATTGTAAATAAAAGTATTGAAGAATATTTACGACATTTTGTGTCCTATCGACAAGATGACTGGGAAGGCCTTATGCCCATGGCCGAATTCGCTTACAATAATAGAGACCACGTTTCCACGGGCGTCTCCCCCTTTAAAGCGAATTACGGATATAACCCAATATTCACTGGAGTGCCGTTGAGTGATCAATGCGTACCGTTGGTAGAAGACAGATTGAAGATGATATCAGAAGTACAGAAGGAATTAACAGAATGTTTAATTCAAGCTCAGGAGACCATGAGAAATCAATTTGACGGACACGTACGAAAGACACCGGACTGGAAGATAGGTGATGCGGTATGGCTGAACAGTCGAAATTTGTCAACAACCAGACCTAGCCCGAAATTAAGTCACCGGTGGCTGGGCCCATTTCACATTATTAAGAAAGTGTCTAATTCTACTTACGAATTGAAACTCCCACAGTCATTAAAAGGCGTCCACCCAGTCTTTCACGTGTCACTACTACGTAAACACAACCACGACGAAGTAGAAGGAAGGCAACAACCCGAACCCCCGGCAATAATACTCAATAACGAGGCCGAGTGGGAAGTATCCGAAATACTTGATTGCAGGATTCGTAGAGGAAAGCGTGAGTACCTCATTAATTGGAAAGGTTATAGCACTGAACACAATTCCTGGGAGCCTATCAAGAATTTGAAGAATTGTAGTCAAATGGTTCAAGAATTCGACAATAGATTCCCACACGCGGCAACAGGACATAGGAGAAGAAGGAGAAAGAGTTGAGAGGGCAAGCTTTTTCCCACTGGGTTTTTTAATGCTGCCCGTGGGAAGAATGCAGAGCTGTCAAGAGGAGCTTGGGCATTAAATGGGGGATAATGTTATAACTCGGATTGTGTAACACCTGTGAAAGATCACATATCAGATGTCACACTTTAGATTAGCACACTTGAGACCGCGCACGCTTGTACTTGCTCTTTTCCCCATCTGACAATCTAAATACCAAACCGGATTGCTCAGCTTCTTCCCTCGTCGCCAGAACCCCGTGACCAGGTCATAACAAAAAGTTTCTTTCTGTTATGTATGTATATTCATCTAATGCGCTAAGAGTGTCGCACCAGAAACAAATTGGTATCATCGTTATATTCATAGAACCCTTTAGAAGATAAACAAATTTAGTCCTTTGAGATTATTGAATTTTCGTATCGAAAACTTTCTTGTACCGCCTTTCTCACCTTTAGAAAAGAACCCAGTACTTGGTGAGGAATGTATCACATGTGGTTTGAAGACTTAGACCCGCGTCTTTGATCTGACGAGGAAATCTTTGATTTTGGATGCATTGGTTGAAGTTGTGTGCAAAGTAGGAAAACAGGGCCAGAGGACTCAACAGAGTTGTACTAAAGTCGATGTTTATTCAGATTATTTATTGACTTGAATCTCATGGTGGATGAGTATGTACCCAGTGTAGATTATTGGTAAGGAATAGTCGCGTTTGTCGACAACCGTGACCCCCTGAGCGTCTATGTTATGCCGTTGTGCCTTTGGGCGCCTTTAGATGAAGATAGCGATGAAAGAACACTCGAAGTGACGGCCCCCAAAGGATTGTGGTATTTCCCTTACTCACTCTTTTCACTTTTCCGAGAGATTACGCTGTGTTGTTCTGGCCCTCCTCCCAATCTCCTTTTGTCCTACTTTTTTCCTTTATTCCTGGTTAACCTCTTCATTCTCGTAGCACTCATATACACTAATCATTCAAGTTAAAGGGAAACCGTGTTCGCCGGCAAAACCTGATTTAACTCCCAATCCCTACTACCAATTTCAAAGTTTACACGTTGACCACATTTGATCTGATCTTCACGCGCCTCACCCCAGATTCATTCCCCGCTCCGGGTCCTCTCATCAAATCAATTCTACACCACCCCCCAAGTTGGAAACAGGCACACATGTCTGTCTATATATATCCCCTCAATGCCATTTGCCCACTCATTCACCCTCACAATCTAATCCCATCGATCCTGATCAACCATTGTGCTTTTTCTCAAGTTGGTAGAAGGTATTCTCTTCAAGCATGTCAATCCGGCTGTTGATTCATCCTCGGGATCAATCTTTTGATCGCACCCTTCATAACCAACCAGTCTTGATTGTGAGCTTGCTTTTCTACCAATCAGTCTGGAAATACTTCAATTACTGCACTTACTTTTTCTGACCTTTGAGTTAATTCTAAATCTGTTTCACCTATTCTTAGAATGAGTGATGTAAGTTTGAAATCAACTCTTCTGTTTACAGAAAGTATTGGTCGCGATTCAAGTAAACTAACTTCTTGATTTGTTTTAGATCGAACATCGGCTTGGTCCCGTTGGACGTTCTTGGTGGGCAGGTCGATCTGGAGGTCATCTACCAAATGCAGTTTGGCGAGAAAGGTTTGGAGATCGATCAACAAGTCAGGCATCAGATCAATTACCACATTCATCTGCCCACGGTCATCGATCTGGATCAATGGGAAAATTAGAAGATAATTGAAGAAGAGCAAGCCATAGAGTTGAAGAAGATTTACATAGAAGTGAAAATCGGTTTGATGAAGCTTTATATCGTAATCAAGAAGATACAATATTAGAAGCTATGAACGAGCAAGATCAATACCTTGAATGTGGGCTTAGATAGGATAGACTGAAACGTACGATTGAAGAAGATAAAACATATGATTGAAGAAGAATGTTTTGAAAGAAGATTAGAAGCTGATCTTTTGGAAAGGGAATTGGCTATTGATCAACATGAAGTATAGTGTCAACTTGATAATGAACTTAGGTTGAAACATCAACAATTGGATCAAGAGACATAAATCAGAGATCATTTAACCGATCAAACTTATGAAAATCAAACTAAAATTTTGATCGGTGATAAAACTGGTTTATATGATGTAGCAGATTTACAAAATTTATGGATTTATAATGTTGTTTTAGTTACTAGAGATAGAGCAAAAGAAGGTGTATTGATTCGTCGTAGATGGTCTCATTTGGTAAACCTTCTTTTTCTAACTTGATTTTTCGTAAAAACAATTGTTTTAACTTAAATTTTGTTTTACATTCTATCATCTTCTGAATAATTTTAGAGCTGCTATAATTGCTGGTCTTGCAATTCTTTCTCTATATCCAATTGGTGAAAGTCACTTTGATGCATACACTTCAAACGGTCATGCAATATTTCATTGAAGGTGTTTTTTTGTGGGTAAAGCTGTTGGTAGTTGTCTATTTAGTGGATGAAGTTGAAGTCTTTTCAGCATATGTCAGTTTTTTTCCCTCAAATGTTTCAATTCTTTGTTCACAATTATATTGACTCTGTACACTGATAATTTTTTTTGGTCTTCCTTATTATTAGCTTTATGGCCCTCATGATGTACCTGCACCTGAATGAAAACATGCTCACCAAAGTGTCCAAGCAGGGGAACTTGAAAAATTACCAAAGCTTGAACTGACTGTGGTTGGACAATGTTTGATTTAAGGACTCATTGATCCTCTTGACTTATCTTACATCATCCAAGCCCTGATAAGTCTACTGTTTTTTTGCTCTTAGTGCAGTGATTTGAACTTGGTATTGTCTTCATTGCCTATCACTGTTCTACAAGCTTATGGTCAATTATGAGACTCTTGGCAATCATCATCCTATTGATATCTCATGTATCACCAACAACAAATCAAATTATTGAACTTCAATCAAAGAAGAAGGTGTCACATGTGATTCATTCATCAATACATTTAAGGCCGCTAAAACACAGCCAATCAAATAGCCAAGGGGTTTGGAACACAATTAGTATATTTACTAGACGCCCAAAGGATCACACAAAGAGATAAACATGGTAGATGTAAAACAGAATTTATAGATGATGTAATTACAAATTCTTATGATTGTCATGTAACTTAACCTATCCAATTTCAGTGTTTGGTTACTTTTATTCAGATCATATGATGATAGAAATGGTGTGCATAAAGTTAGGAATGGGGATGGAAATGGGAGTAAAAATGTGGATGCCAATGCAATTAATAATAATTGAACCAAATTCAAATATTTTTTTTATGATTTTGATGAAAAAATTGTGTCACATTTCTTACTTTATTTTTTTCCTTTTCCTTTTGTTTGGTTTATTAAGAAAGATTAAAGAAATTAAATTTATAGGCTCCAAAAAAATCAATGAAGGAAGGTTGAGAGGAGTAGGTATAAAAGATTTTAAATATTTGTTGAGTCTCAGAAAAGATCTTTTTTTCTTATTCTTTTTACACAAAGTTTTTTGGATGGTTTTGAGTTTTTTGATTTTTAGACAATGGGGTTTAGAGCCCAGCACTACCACAGAAGAGCAGGAGCCAAATTTCACAAAATGTAAGCTTATCACCTGAAATAATTAAACTGTTAACAATCTGGACTCATTCAATTAAATCAATAAGTATCTTAATTCATAGAAGAAGATGAAAACAATGTTTGAACATCAGTCCAGGATTATGTAAATTGATTTTAAATAAAACTATATTGAACAGGATTGGAATTAGATCTATACCTTTAAATGAAGATCGTCAATTATAGTATGATGTTGAAAATGGTTGAGTTGATAAAATAAAAGGAAGTTTACAAGTTGGTGAAATTGGTGGGAAAAGGATATTCAATGCTATCAAACTTTTATTGTTATAAAATAGTTTAAATCATTGAAGTGAAAATGAATAGTATATTATTTCACTTTGTGAAGTTTGTTTTGATGAAAACAAATCAAGGATTATGAAATTAATGGGAAAGAGTTGGGAATTGATGGAGATGGGTTGGCAAAGATGAAATTTATGCTGCTTCCAGAAGAAGGCCTGAGTGTTGGAAATGATTAAAAAATAAGATTGGTTTCTATGTATGATTATTGGTTTTTTTCTTTTGTGAAGTTTGGAACAGAACTTTCTGAATTTTTTATGTTGGGTTTCTTTTTAGTTTTTGAATCAAAAAGGTCTTATACATATTCTACACCTGAGTGGAAGCAGAAGAAGAAAATAAAACGAGTGAACAAAGACCAAAGATAAAGGTCTTATTCCATGAAGTTATGAAAAAACAAAGACAAACTCCCCATTGTTATTTTTGATTGTGAATGCAAAATCCTTAAACCCAATTGGTATGTACACATTATTCTGTTTCTTCATGAAAGCTTGATTTCAGGGTTAAGGGTTTACAGTAATCTGTTTCCAGTGTCTTCTACTTTGTGTGTCAAACTTCTTGGGCTTAGTTGTGAGCTATGATGATGCATTAGGGTAGTTAGTATGTCATAAGAAATCCAACGTGTGATGTGTGCACCTGGGAATGTTTGAAAGGTTGCATGAAACGATTCCAGGATGGGAGGTGGGTGAAATAAATGCTCACAAGGAGATGGTATCAAATTGCTGATTTGCGTGGACATGATTGAATAATGCGGCGCCCGCCGCTGATCGGGCTAGTGAATTCTAAAATATACAAATCATAAGTTTCTATTCATATGTTTGCTTTGTGATACCTTTGGTTTGGAATCAAATGCTTCAGATGAATTACTCTACATTCAACATGACATGCATCTGTACAGTATAGATGTACATGTTGTTTTCAATCAAACTAATAAGCTAGACTTGAAAGTTTCAGTGCGGCGCCCGCCGCCCCAAATGGCTAGTAATGTTTAACACTAACACTGAAGCTTTTGATAAAGTTTGTCATTTTACTTTCCAATATAGCTTGATTGACCTTTTCAAACAATATTCAACAAACAGTACTTTACAAGGACAATCATCTTCAAGAAAGATACTATTCACTTACCACAGTATCAGATGGTGATGCTTTTTCTCAATGAGGATAGAATTCATCTGAAATCCGTAGCCAAATCATATGTGCTGATACTCAACTGCGATGAATCACACTGCCCTATGCTTTCCTAGAGAAATATTGATGAGATTGAAGTGCAAAGTAATGTTTCTCCGTAAAGATGAGTGAGATGATAGTATCTGACCTAGCTTCAGTATGTCAAACATAAGCACCACTTGTTCTGTAAGATGTAGTAAAACCAATGATGCTACCTGAAGAGAAGAGTTTGCAAATTCAATATGCAATGCCATCTTTGTTTCATGTCTATAACATATTCCACATGAAGATATCAAGCTCGCCCAGTACAGTGATAATAATTGTGCTCTATCAACATATTGAGTTGGAAATTATCAAACATGTTATCCAGTCATTATGAAAAGATTATAGACAATGAAGATGTTTTGCTTACCGCTGACAACAACCTTTTTGATCAATGTGTAAACAAAATGGAATAGCTTAAAGGGTAGCCGACACAGCAGGCCAAATATCTCCAATAGTTGAAGATTTGATGAATTGTATCAGAGGTAGACTTTTGAATGGATCATGTAAAATTTGATCTCGCTTAAGCTTAAATCTGCTACCCAAGATTACTGATCCCAATCAAGCTTTTATCATTCTTCTTGCAAATTTGATATATATAAAGAGTTTGATGTGACTTTTTAAAAAAGGTCGATTGATGGTTGGAGGTCAAGGATTGAAATCCTGTTCAGAGGACTTGTTTGGTCAAATTAAGTCCTTGATGTAATTTGTTCAAATAACTTGTGATTCCCAAGTTTTGAGTTGTGTCCCCTACATAACAAACAGATTGAAAGGAAGGATAAGTTTCATTTGAACACAATCTTCTAGTGATAATGGATGTAATCAATATTGAAGTGCTAAGAATTCGATGACATCCCAATTGAGACCCTAAAAACCAATCAAATTGTAAAAAGGTTAGCTACAATTTTTATAAACTCAAACGAAAACCAAAACCAAAAAAAACTTGAAACCTAATTCCTCACACACATTCACATTAATCTATCTTACACGAGACCAAATTGGACAAGATCGATTGAATTTGAGAGAATAATTTGATCAAGTTCTTGATGATGACCAGGTATGAAATTCATAAATTTGGCTTGATCCTCTGAATAATCTACCAAATCTACACTAACAGGTGTCTAATGAAAAATTTGAGGTTGTGGTTGATTCACATCAGCACCCGGTTCCATTAATCCAGCAGAATTATGAAGACGAAGTATTGATTGGTGTGGGTACAGTTGATGGTGTTGAACCTCATACTATTCTTTGGGCTGCTGTTGCTTTAAATCTTTGCTTAACTTGCCCTATTAGAACCCAGATTTGATTATCAGAAACATTTTTAAACTTGCAGTAAACCGCCCATTTCTTTAACCATAGACTATGGGTTTTAACTCACCAAGGTACTGTGATACCGGTGGATGATGGGTTCGATTGCTATTGGTCCGTATTATGTGGTTGACCTACAGCATTCAGGCTGGTACTGTCGATACAAAAGAATGACACCGATCAGTAAAATCAAATATACATTCAATAAAATGATATGATTGGCAGTTTACCTCTTCTATCAGATGTTGCACCATAATTTGATATTGGATGATATAAAACAAAAACAAAAATAAAGGACTTTAGTTACATAAACAAGGGTAGAGGTGAAGAAGAAGGAAAGAAAAAAGAACTCACAATTTGAAACTTGAAGTCGAGTCACAAGGGATCTACATCTATCAATCAATCAAAACCGAGCCGAGCGCGAAGACAGAGATATATGTGCTCTCCGTTTCCCTTTTGTGCTTTGTTTTGTTATTCAAAGAAGACTAAAATCATAACTTGTGATCGGTTCTTTGGTTTTTGAATTGTCATCTAAGTCAATCATATTCGTGCGGTATGAGTCGGTTTAAATTTGTCAATTAGCAATGTGATTGTCGGTCAAAGTGAGGACATGACGCAAAATGCACGGCTGTAACAGGGAAATTGACCTACATACAGTTAAGACTTATCAAGGGCCTAAGGGTTTAATCCAGTTTTGCCGAGAAGCACGGTTGTGCCTTTAGTTTTATGATGATACTGACAACTCCTGAACTGTTTTTGTACTCAAATGCATCGCATTTTGGAATTTTATATTGAATCGCTTGTAGTGGTTGCGATTAATAATTTACATCGCATGTACAGCGAGCAATGTAAAGGGTTGAGTCGCACAGATGCTAGTCATGCATTTGAATCTGAGCGATGTTACATCACAAAGGATCCATGCGATGTGAAATCACAGCGCAATTGAATCACATGAACCCTTGCGATCCAACCTCGCATGCGATGTTGAATCACTTCCAGGACAACCTACTCAAAATCACATCCTTATTACATCACACAGCACGGATGTGATTGAACATCACAAGTCCCAGTGCTTTGTGCTGGTGCATACCACCATGCCATGTAAAAATGTTCCCGGTGTCTCTGTGCTCTGCTTCTTGACCCACGCAGCAAGGATCAAGAGTTAAGTGATGCGACCCTAGCCCTTGCTGGAATCAATCATCGAGATGATTGGA